GAGAGAGAGAGCACGAGCAGGGAAGGGGCAGAGAGAGGGGGAGATCTAGAGTCTGAAGCAGGCTCCAGGCTCCGCACTGTCAGCAGAGTCTGACACAGGGCTCAAACTCGTGAACCGTGAGATCATGACCAGAGCCAAAGTTGGACGCTTAACCAACTGAGCCACCCAGGCTCCCCATGAAGGTCTTTTTCTTTTTCACCTTAATTCTTTGAGAAAAATGACCCTACCACAGAAAGAAAAAAGTTGACAGTGTTAGAATGAGAAGTAAAGACAATGTGAAGACACCTAAAAAAGTGATGGGTGTTCTTCAATTTGGGTATTACTCAAATGAGTCCCTTTGAATAGTAAAGTCTAATGCATCGTTTAAATGTGAGGAACATAGCAAAGGAAGAACTAAAAATCCCAATTTTCCCATTTTCCTAACACTCCTATCTCTAAAATTCTAGTTTTCCTCTTCCATGGAATCTGTTCCCATCCTCCACCCCAGCACTGACCGGCTTCTGTGTCGGCCCCTCCTCCTCCTCACAGGGAGCAGACAGTAGAGACTTACAGATGAACCAGGCTCTGAGACTTCTGGAGAATGAGCACCAGGAACTGCAGGCCAAGATTGAACACCTGCAGGGGGACAGAGACCTGTACAGCTCGGATACGCAGCACCTACAAGGTACCCTTCTCCCCAGAGGCCTCTGCCTCAGTGAGCCCAAGTGAGCCCAAGAAAGGAAGCTGGGTAGAGAAGGCGGCTTCAGTCTTTGGTTGGCTTTGTGATTTCATTTGACCCGGAGGGACAGGCAAGGCTGTTTTAATCATCCAAGACTGAAAATGAATCACACTGCACTAGCGGATCTTGTAGTTATCAGCCTGCTTTTCCGGCCCATCCCCCGAGCCACGTTGCAGCACTCCTACTTCAGTCACACGTGCCAAGGCTGCATTTCTAATTCAAAAGGGAAAGGTCAGTTGAAACACAAGGCGCCGTGAAGGTTTCCCATCACAGCCTCTGTGTCAGCTGAGAGGACCAAATCGTGTGCAAATACAACTCTTAATTCAACCTGACGTTGTCGATGCTGATGAAGTCCAAGGCACTTGGGATCTGGTTTACCCGTCTCAGAACTAGGACAAGTAGAAGAAAGAGCAATTTCCACTTGACACACATCAGAGGCCTACTAGGTCCCATTCTCGGGTGTCAGGTTCATGAAGTCTTAGTTTCGTCTATTTCGGTTTACATTATTTCATTTCCAGATCAACTGAAGAGGTCAGAGGAGGAGAAACTCGCCCTGGTGGCCAAAGTACAGCAGCTGCAGAGTAAGTTCCCTTTCCAGATCCTCAAGCAGCACAGCTGGCTCTTTGGTGCTCCTGGGGCTCCTGCCACACAAAGGGCTTTGGGGCCCGGTCTTGGACATGTCCTTTACCTTTGTGCATTTTCAGACCTTCTTGGGAAGTGAGAGGTCATTTACATAGCTCTTCGCAAGTTAGTATTAGCCTGGTCTTTTCTTCTCTACTTTTCTCCTCCCATGCCAATGACAACCACCTGAATTTCCCCCAGAATTGCCATTTCCCTCAATCTTGATTTTAAAAAATGGGTTTTCTAAGTCAGTTATTTGATATATTGTAACTTATTATGTACATGAGTATGTCATATAGACTTCTGTCACTAGGAATGGTTCAGAAAATCAGCTCACACTACATATGCCTCAGTCCATTTCAAAACTACCTGTTGGGGCCAAAGAGGAAAAAGGACTTTTCAGAAGAAAAGTAGGCCATTGCTGAAAAGCTAGAGAACCTGATTCAGTTAATAGCTCTGCTGGCTGCCCACCGCCTTAACCTCTGCTACCCCAACAGAGATGTTTTGTGTAATTAGTATTAACAGAGAAAGGCAACCAGCAGTAGATGCCGAACACCTACAGGGCAGGAGCGGAATGGACCAGGAATCACTTCAACACCATGCCTTTATTTATTCAGTACATATCTACTGAGTCCCTACTAAGCACCAGGCACTTTAGACATACACACTGAGGACACAGTGCTGAAGAGAACTGACACAGCTCCTTCCCTAATGAAGCTTACACTCTAAGCTCTATAATAAAGTATGGAGCTTCGGGGCGCCTGGGTGGCGCAGTCGGTTAAGCGTCCGACTTCAGCCAGGTCACGATCTCGCGGTCCGTGAGTTCGAGCCCCGCGTCGGGCTCTGGGCTGACGGCTCAGAGCCTGGAGCCTGTTTCCGATTCTGTGTCTCCCTCTCTCTCTGCCCTTCCCCCGTTCATGCTCTGTCTCTCTCTGTCCCAAAAATAAATAAACGTTGAAAAAAAAATTAAAAAAAAAAATAAAGTATGGAGCTTCTACAAACAAGTAAGTATGTGTCAGGCAGCAATAACTGCTAGGGAGAAAAATAAAGCAGCTTAAAGGGAAAACAGTTGCTATTTCATACAGGGTCATCTGGGAAAGTCTTCTAAGGTAACATTTAAGCAGAGACTTAAAGGTAAAGACACTGAAGGAAGAGACATAAGGACAGTGTATTCACAACAAAATACCACACACTGTGTGACTTAAAAAACAGAAATTTATTTTGTTCTGGAGGCTAGAGGTCCAAGGTCAAGGTGTTGCCAGGGCTGGTTCCTTCTGAGGGCTTTGAGGATAGATCTGTTCCAGGCCACTTTCCCTGGCTTGTAGATGGCCTTCTTCACCCTATGTTTCTTCATATGTCTTCTATCTATGGATGTCTGTTGAAATGTCCCCTTCTTACAAGGACACCAGTCATAAGACATTAGGGCCCACTCTGATGTCCTAAAATTCTTGATTATCTCTGTAAAGAACCTGTCTCCAAATAAGGTCACATTCTGAGGTACTAGGAGTTAGGACTCTCCCCCTATGAATTTGGGGGAGCACAATTCAGCCAATAACAGATAGGAACATCTTGAATAACTAAGGTTTGTAGCAAAGTTCTGAAAACATTGTTTACAGTCAATATACAGACAAGTTCCTTGTGTCTTCCCACAGGTCTGCTTCAGAATCAATCCTTACAGCTTCAAGAACAGGAGAAACTCTTAACAAAGAAAGGTCAGCAAATTTACTTCCACAAATTCTAAGATATTGGTCTTTCCTTGCCTGCCTAGAGGCAGAGGAATGGACTACATGACCTCTTGGAGTCCCATGCAGTTCTAGGAGTCTGTGAGGTCAGGGATCTAGCAGAGCTTTTTAAGGACTGATCATTGGCTTTGAGAACACTTTAACTAGTTAGCCTCCTATCCTGAGAGGTACATAAACTGTGAAAAGAATTTCTACTCTCTCTGAAAACATGTGTGTGTTGAACATTTCAATAAACTGATTTTGAACTCAGGATTTAATGTCAATTTTTACATTTGACTTTCCAAATCACATCCCAAGTCCACACCTCCACACCATGCTGCATGCAACAGTCACCTCACTCTTAGCCCTCAAGAGTCTGCTGCCTTAACTCCCTGAGAAGAATGCATCATGTATCTGAGGGTGGGGGGCAAAAGTTCCTCATGTATGCACTCCAAGTGGTCTTTTGTTTTCTCATCACAATCACCACGTAAAATATAAGGCAGAAAGTATTATACCCACATAGCACAAGCAAGAAAATGAAAACCTATGGTCATAAAAATTAAGGACGCAGCTAAGACAACAATCCAGAATTTCTGACTCCTAGTTCAGTGCCCTCTTCACCAACACTAAGACTTCTGCGTGGCTCAGAAACCACTTTTAACCACATGAAGGTGAATTCTATGATATGACAGCCATTCTCATTGACTGTGAAATAAGGACAGAAGGGGAAAGGGGTTAGTTCTATTGAAGCATCCAGCAAACCTACCAGAAGTACAACAAAAGAAATTGGACTAGTAAGTATTCTCTAGAAATATCTGCCATTAAACGGGACTGGGGATACAAAGAAAAGTAAGAGGCCAACCTTGCCCTCACGCGGCTCAAATTCCAGCTGTGTCAAGGCTGAGCAGGGTCCCAATGGGAGAAAGTCAGAAAATTCTACTCCATGCAGTCTAGTCAGGGACAGGACCTCTCTTGTTCTCTCCTCTCCCTTCCCCTCACTCCAGACTTCTCTCAGTGATAGGGCCCTTCCTCAGAGGCGTGGACCGCACTATCACTGAGAATCTGGCTGCTTTTTTAGATCAGGCTTTGCCTGTGTGGAGTCCAAAGCCCTCCCATAAGGAAGTGGAACCTGAGGGTACAGGGAAGGAGAAAGAACGGGATTTCAGAGACCAGCTGCAAAAGAAGACTTTGCAGCTCCAGGCCAAGGAAAAGGAGGTGAGAACGTGACCTCAAGGTAGTGAGGGGCTCATACCACAATGGTAGGGAAAACTGCTGGGAGGCAGCCAGGGAGCAGAGATTTCAAAGTTTAAATTGTGATTGGATGCCAGCAGGTACTCACTTTGCTTTCAGGCTAACTTGTCCATCTTTTTCCTTCTTCATTTATACCAACCATTATGCAAGGTTTTGTTAAATAGTTACCTTTTATAATGTCAGCCTAAACTAAAACACACTTAATAAACATATTAACTCCTCAAACTTTGTCCTACATAGAGTTATCTTAAAACTTTACATAGTGTCTTTTAAGTAACAAACTCTTTCCATCTACATACTTAGAAACCTACATATTCCCAGAGTATTCACATGCAACTCAACTAGGTCCTGTTGAAGGTGCTTCTTCACCAGTACTAAGATCATTCCCAGGTCTTTTGTGCTATAAGAACTTCATTTTTTGGTGTCCGCATTTACAAAGCACTTGCACATACACTATCACATGAAAGCACTAACATGTATAATATATAGTATTATCATATGCATTATAATCAATCATTTAAATGAACACATTCCAGGCAAACTAAGTAAGGCAGCCAGAAGATAAACTGAAATCTCTGAGTAAAGGCTGGGAAGGGAGGATGGTGGTAAAAATTCCAAATGAATGAAGGGGTAACTCACATAGGGCCCTCTCCCCGACCTGAGCTCTATCCCAGAAGGAACTGGTAGTGATGATGTTGGTGGTATTCTCCCCCCAGTGCAGAGAACTGCATCTGGAGTTAGACAACCTCAGCGACGAGTATCTCTCCTGCCTGCGTAAGCTGCAGCACTGTCGAGAAGAGCTGAACCAGAGCCCACGGCCGCTTCCCAGAGTAAGAGGGTCTATCCTCCCATATCGCCCTGGATGATGGTGGGACAGGTCCTCCTTCAGTCAAATCTTGCAGATCATTCATCAACCCGCGCCAACGCTGGGCCAGCCCATTCCATTCAGCTTGGTTTATATACTTGAGTATAACAACTGTTGGGAAACACTTGCTCATGCAACCAAGCCTAATTTTCATGGAACTCTTGAGCCTAAAGGAAGAGGCCTACTATTAGCTAAAGTATGAAATGGTGTTCTTTTAGCCTATTATGAGCTAGTGGCAAGAGTAAGGAGAGAAGAAAAAAAAAAGAGTAAGGAGAGCAAAAGTACTACGGAATATGAATAGAGAATAATATAGTGTTGCTAAGTTATTTTCCATCCTTGATTACTCTAACCAGTATTTAAGTTATCTGGCCCTTGCTGGGTATGGTTCCCTAGGCCAGTGATCCTGGGCTTAGGGACAAGTAACCAGCCATAAAGTGGTCTTATCCCAAAGGAAGTGAGCAAGTGAGAGAAATAATGATATAAAAAGCTTTTTCTCCTCTACTGACCCAAGGTTTCCCACGGGGCTGGAATGGGAAGAAGGAAGATTATTTTTGTCTGTATCTTCTCCAAACAACCCATGGCCTCTTTCTCTTTCGCCCCTTCCCTCCTCACAGAGGCAATGTGGCCAATGGCTCTCGATGCTGATGGTAATGATTGCCATAGCACTGGCAGTGTTCCTGGCCAACAAGGACAGCCTGATGATCTGAATCACTTCGGACAGCTGCCTGGGTGAAAATCTGAAGCAAGAAACTCAAAAAACTCAGAATGTTTACATACTTTAGAGTGTGGGTTTTCCCACAGAGATTTCTGACTTTATTATTTTTTTTAACCTACTGTAAAATAAACTTCACCTAACAAGTTTCTGTTCCTCTGAACTCTTAGTTTACCCCTGAATGACAGACACATCACAACACAATCATAAGACATTAGAGAATCCTGGTCTACTCTCCCTAGTCCGATTCAGTTGGTGGTATATAAACATGCAGTAAAACTTACCTAGTCCTCTACTTTCTGGCAGACACTGCCCACTGGGGCAGATATATTTACAACCACCACACAAGAACAGACTACTTGACTTCCACCGCCTGTCTCCACAATCTTTCTTCTATCCCCTATCCAGTGAAAAATGAACAGACATCTCAGTTAAGTCACGAGGACTCCCTACTATAGAAATGGCAACTATGTACAACCAACACCACTACCACCTGTTCCCATGCCCACTGAGATGAGGACAACTGTTTGCAGAATTTTTCCCTAATTTTCTCAAGATGCTCAGAATTGGTCATTGAGATGCCATCCCTAACCCGGAGCTGATCATCTACTGAGTATCTTCTACATGAGAGAAGAGCTGAAGTCAGAGAGCCACAGCTGGCAACGTGACTATCTCGGAGGAGATGCTCAAGTCAGCAAAGTCATTCTGCCTCCTACATCGAGTTCTAAGGTCCTTCTCCCAAGTGTTTATAATCTCCCTCAGGGCTGGGAACAAGCTCTCGGGGACACTAAAGGAAAAGAGCAAGACTGGGAACTGACCGAGCAGCCATGAGATCCGGGCAGTGAAAACCCGTAGCGGGGTCAGGGCTAAGCAGTTGCCATCTCCCTGGTTCAGATGAAAGGTATATGGAACAGGATAGCCCAGGAGGATCCCAAACACAGTACAGAGATTCCAGTCTGAAGAACGAAGTCTGCTGCAGGAGACTTCCAGGGATAAGTCCCTCTGCAGCCCTTGCAAATGTGTGATGATCTCAACCATTATGGCCTTCAAATCCTGAAGTTGGTCCAGGGAGCAAATAGAAGGGTGAGGTTGGGAGCTGGAAACATCCACAAAGGCTATGGTACCAAGCAGTACCTGCTCCAAGCGCTGACATACATGCTCAGGACTGACAATCAGGCTGTTTTCTCCAATCTCAAGGATGTGAAGTCCCTGGGTCAGGAAGCCCAAGCCCTGCAACTCCTCCAGATAGCTCTGGAGCTCTGATGTCCCTGCACAACTGCAATCATAGAGCAGGGCTGGCTTCAGTCCCCGGGCCACAGCCAGCACCTCTCCAGCTAGGTGAAGGCAGACGGCTCGGGGTGGGCCCCGTCTCTTTCCCATGCCCAGGGTCTGCTGAGCAGCTGCCACCAGCATCTGAGGACTTGGTGTTGACATGGGATCTGGAAGCAACATCAAGCATGGCCTCCTTACCTAGCCACAGTTCCCTGCCCTGGACCGCATCTGTAAGCTCCAGTCACTTGAGGAAGGGCCTAAAAACAAAGCAGTAGCAGGGACTGTTAACACCAGCCAGTGACACATCAGGAAACCTGACAACAGCCTTCCCCTAAATTTTACAGCATCTTCCAAAGATCTTTTTGTCCCTCCCTCTGCTTTGAAATGCTAATACAGACCAGACAAGATGAGATCATCAATCGTAACTCATTTCTAAGGCTGCCTTAGTCTCCCTTAGTCCCAAATTTCATGTGTCTTTCAGGCCTCATGGCTAGATTTATATTCTCTCTGATTTCTTCTAAATTTTACCTGTTGTAAACTACTTTCTTGGATTCAAACCTTAAGGAGTTTGGGGCAGAGAAGTGGCAGGGCTGTCTTTGGCAAAATTCCGGGCATTTCATCTAAAATTGCCCTTCTGAGGTAAAATTCTAGGTTCCAAAATTCTAGGTTTCCATTGCCAGCTTCCTCTGATCTTCCCGCCAATAACTAGGAACAGCGGTCTGATTAAATACACACAAGAATGTGGACTTACAACCACTGCACCCTGAGACGTAAAAGTAAATAAATAAAACCTGTTAGAACTGCAGGAGGGCTGTGTTTTACTTTTGTGGTCCCCGCCTTTCCCTTCTGGCCGATGTCGACGGACCCTCGGAAGATGGGCTAACTCCAAACCCCCCACCCTGTCCTGAGCACACTATAGTGATTTGTTAAATGAGGCAGGTCTCTTTCACACGTACGTTCTGCTTCCACTTCCGCTGCAGGTTCGCAGGCTCAGAAATGCCTTCCAGTTTCGTGCGGGCTGCCGAGGACACGGCGAGGACCGTGGGCTCCGCCGCAATACTGGAAAACCCCTTCAGCCTCTGGGTTCCGAGTCGGCGAAAGGGGCCTACCGCGCTTGCCCAACACAAGCCCTCCCACCGCTTTCCGTGACGTCATCCATTCTCCTCGCGCGCCTCGCGTTAGAACCGCTGGCAAGTCTGTGCCGGAAGTTTGGGCTCCTAAGGCCAGGCCCTTTCCGGCCAGACAGAAGCCGGCCCGCCCCTCTGAGTAGGAACGGGGAGGGGCGGAAGTGCACGAAGGAAGGCGGGACCTGGTGAAACTAGCAGCCTGTCGTTGCCCTCACGTGGCTTTGCGTCGTGCCCAGCCTGTGTGTTCTTCAGGCTGAGAAGCCTTAGGAAGGCACGCAACGCAAAAACACCCTTTGATTTGTGTCTGGAGAAATGCGCTCCCCCCCTCCAAACGAAGCCTATCCCGTGGCAAGCGACATGTTTTACACCTCACCTGTGGTGGCGCTGCAAAGTTGGTTTACTTTGATCTCCCTAAATGCTAAATTTGAGACGCTGAATTCCTAGAAGTGGCTGCACAAGTGCTGTCCTGCCCAAGATTTGTCATCTCTAAGCAGGGTGTGAAGGGCATGAGCATTATTCACTCTGAACAAAGGTGTGCCAGGCATGATTCTAGGCGCTGGCGCTCTTACAACGTACAAAATAGACAAAAACCCCACCTTCCCGGAGCTCAAGTTAGAGGAATTCAATTTCCTGACTTCACATAAGAGCAGACATGCAGAGGCTTTTCAATCTGCTCAACAAGAAGAAAGTGTGATTTCGCTGAAGGTTTAACGCTCCTGCCAGCTAAGAATTTCTTGAGAAAGCTCATCTGAGGAAATGGCCCAGACTCCATGCTCCATGGGCGGGACAGATGCAGAGGGAACTGTGGGCTCCTACACCGGACGTTGCACTCCTGGCTCTACCGTGGCGGCGTCTTCAGCCGGTGAAGAGAGGCAACTATGGAGTAAGGATGAGGCCTGCCAGCATGTAGGAACCCCCAGGCTAACACTAGTCCTTAGCTCAGAAGGAGTCAGAAACAGAGACTAGGAACTAATTTGAGGATTTTATTTTCCATGGTGGTTTAGCAATAAATCTGTAAGATGAAAGGCTTCCTTAGTTCATTCATTTATTCTAACAACAAATACAGTTGACCCTTGAACAACCCAGGTTTTAGGGGGTGCTGTACACAGGAGATACTCTGTGTATAACTTTTGACTCCCCCAAAACTTTACGAATAGCCTACTATTGACCAGAAGGCTTTCTGATAATATAAGCATTAGCACATATTTTTATTATAGCAACATGTATTATATACTGTATTCTTACAATAAAGCTAGAGGAAAAAATGCTAAAAAAATATATGAGAAAATACGTTTATAGTACTCTACTATATCAAAAAACAATCTGAGTATAAATGGGCCTATGCAGTTCAAACTTGTGTTGTTCAAGGATGTTATATTTGAGAACATACTATGTACCAGGCACTGGCAACAAAGTCCAAGACAAACAGTCCCTACTTTCAGCAATTTTGTAATCGAGCAGGACACAAATGCTGAGCAATTACCAGGGAACAGATTATTCTGCAAAAGGAAGTATAGGATGATATGGGAACATAAAACCAGATACCTAATTATATAGGGAAGGAATAGCCCAGATCCAACACTTGCTCCCCCAATTTACCTATAGTGTTGTGTTTTGTTTGGTTTTGAACTTTGAGCTAACCTGGTTTGGTGGGGTGGACAGTGAACAAAAAGAAGAGCTGGTGACACCATCTAATTCCCTTTCCACTCTTGAGCAACGTGGACACAAGGAAGTAGAACACATCAAGAGTGTGTCGCCACTAAAGGAGATAAAGACTCTCCCAAGAAAGATACACCTCGTATCTATCAATCCATCGGGACCAGAGAAGGAGAACTGAGGGAGATCAGTGGACAGCACTGCACTCTCCCAGCATTGTAAAAACAATAGAAAACATGGAAGAAACCAGGCTGTCTCATGAAGACCACATAGAACCACTCATCCATTCCTCTGACATGTTTGGATTTTTTATTACAGTCACATACTGGAAGTTTGATCCTTTTTGGCCCTTCAAAACACAATTTTCAACACTGCCAGCTCATATTATCTGGACCCCCAGCCAGATGGACAGACTGGCTATTAGCCTCTCCAAGAATAAGGGAAAAGCACTACCCAGATCTAGCAGTTGCCCTCCCAGTTTACCTACAGTGGGTTCTTTTTAACTTTGAGCTGGGCAGGTATAGACAGAGGCAGCCAGACACAAAGACCAAATCCTTCACGTCACCCACTCAACAAAATGATCAAAAAATATAAAGGTTCTATACCTTGCATGTTTTCTAGTTTCTAGAAGCCCAACTTCTGCTCACAGATCAACACCTGACATTTACCCAGATTTCTCTTGGTCATACTTTAGTAACAGCAGATCCCACTAGGTCCCTTAGAGACCCTAAAACCACAGCTTTAGCATTCTAAATAAGTCCCACTGCCACCTGTGACTGAATTGAGCCTAAGGCTTTTGAAGCTGCCTTACTTTTCAGCTAGCTCAACTTCAGTAGCAAATGGGGGATGGCCTGGTTTAAGTGCAGCACACTAGACAGGGGTTTTCTCATTATGGCCTGGCATGGATAGGCATCAGTATTCAAGAGGATTAGGGGCCTGCAACCAGAGATTAACATCTTGTTCTCCATTTAGGTTTTAGAGTTTCAATTATGCTTGTCTTTAAAAAAAAAAAAAAAAAAAAA